TTCGAAATATGTGTGTTTAATTAAAATTTCATGTTTCAAGGTTTGATTTAGGAACAAGAAGAGTTATTTTGGTAATTCAATTAACTTATATCACTATCCAAATTACCAAAATACTCCTGATTGTTCATATCTTCAAACACAAATGTATAGTTTTAGGTATTTTTGGGCCAAGTAGTTGAGGAGGTACTTCAATGACATAATTTTACGATAGAAACCACTTGTTGATGAATTGTTTGATTTGTCGAGTTTCATGCTTTCCATTGCAAATAGGAAAATTATTACTCTAGAAAACCAATGGTGATTCCTGCTTTCTTACATTAGCAATGCATCTTCTCAACCTCCCTGAATAATCAATATAATCAATATAGTGTGCAATTTTTGTAAGGAGGCAACCTTAGCATTCTACATTATCCACTTTAGTTGGATGGTGTAAATACGTCTTTTAATACTACCACAGTGTCAAGTCCCCCCTGCCTAACTAAAATAGACATTGTAAATTACTTCTACAAGTATTATTGCCTCCTTGTATACAAACTTTTGCAATAACATATTGAATCTTGCCCAACATTGAAGGATTATAGAAAGCTTGCCCTTTATGTTTTTCTTCTTCTTGATTGTAAATGGATAGGATAAAGAAAGGACCAAATAAAACTTGAGAGAATATCAAACCAATTTCTTAGGAATTAAAGTTCAATGTAAGAAAATAGATGCCACCAAAAGGCCCTTCAGTATACGTTTTCATTAAGACATCTACAATTTAAAGGGCAAAAATACTAATAACTATGTTCTAAGAAGGGTTCGGTTTGTATAGGATAGGATTGAGGCCTTAAACAATCAAAGTAAGACACACCTTCAAATAGTCTCCAAAAATATCGTTTCAGTATAAATAGCCTGAGAATTTATTTTCATCTCTAATTATAAAAATTAAAGCTTCAAAATTTGTGTAAATCAAGCAAATCTATCACTACTTGAAAATATTCAAAATTGACAGCCTAGATTATGCGTTGAAAGATGTACTATTTTAAGACTTGAAGTCCATTTGTTTTTTATGTTCATGTATCTCAAGGTCGAGATGATTGGATTTGAGGGTTTTTTGGCATCGAAAATACTTTTTCAAGTGAATTTTTTGTGTGCTCTTTATTTTGATTGTTTAGGGCCTCTACCCTATACAAACTTTTTCCTTCCAAGGGACACTACTCTAATCATGAATCGAATAAGAAACCTTGAGTATTGAATCGATTTTTCAGGGAGCGGAGGTTGATACAATTCTAAACTCCCTTTATCTCAACTTTGAATTCCGTTTAATTATTCGCAAAACATTGTGATTTGTTTTTTAAATTGCATTAAATAGATTTTTTTCAAAATTAAAGAAATACGATAAGGGCATTTTATGGTCACAAGTTTGATAGGAGGGGTGTGTTAAAGTCAAATTTTGTAGCTACAGGAAGTGCAAAAGGGAGAGTTTCCTTTAACAATTAGATTTGGATTTTATGTAGAGAGTAAGGAAGAAATAAAATTGAAATTGTGTTGGGATATAGGTTACTTAAGTTCTGTTTTTTGCAGGAGAGGTCACCTGAGCTCTACATTGTATTGGGAGATAGGTTACCTAAGTTTTTTTTTTGCAGGAGAGGTCACCTGAGCTCTACATTGTATTGGGAGATAGGTTACCTCCTAAGTATGGACTCTACCCTAACGTCTCTCTCTCCATAGAATACTACTATAAATGTAAATGTCACTTATCCTTAAAACCTCTCATTCCATAGAATCTGATTTTTTTATTTGAATTGTAATCCTTTGATTGTAAATAAATATTTTTTTTTATGATCATCATGAGTTCATGTTATTTGACCTATTTTTATATTTTTCTTTTATTCAGATTTTTTTTAATAAATATTTCAAGCTCTGAATTGATTTTTCTAAGTCCGTCTGTAATAATTTTTTCCATCTTATTTAGATTTTTAATGCTATTTATAGTTTGCTTGGTTATTATTTTTGGCTTTTAATGTATTTTTCTTTTTTAGCTCTTTCTTTCACATGTATGTTGTCGAGTCCACTTGGAATCACTAGGGTTACTTGGCTTGGGTAGGGTACAAGTCTGGAGCCCAAGCTGACTAATTGAACCTTGATCCAAAACTCCATGTAGCAAAAAAGATGATCCTTTTAATTTTCTTGAATACTTTTTTTATTTTTTTGGTAGATCAGTGTGGCTTTTTTTTTTTTGGTAGATTAATGGGGATTACAGACCTCTACCTGTTTTAAAAAATAGGCAGTGGTTTTCATAAGCATCAGTAAGAAAAAGAAGCAGCCCATTAACTGAGGCTCAGTCGATGCTATCACCACGACCTCAACCCCATTTCCTATTTTCTTGAATTCTTACTAATTGAAATTCAATTTTGTCAAAACCCGGATCTTGTATTAGGTGCATGAGTAATATGAAAGTACAAGAGTTCCATTCATGTGTTATCCAATAATATTCATCCACAAGCTCTTAAAAAAATCATTTAACTTGCATGGTAATTAAGTATCTAGTGGTCGGCACCGATAACTACCAGGTTTATAATTTATAGCAATCATCACATTGAACTGATAATATAGTTGAAGAATAATGAACTTAGCATTCTATCTCAATAATAAATGAAAGGATGGCCAGATAAAGGAATTATTGTGAGAAACAAAGACTAGCATATTCTTATGAATGATTCTCCTTTTTGTCACTTGCGAAAATAGCGAAATAGTTAAAAGAGTTGTTTATGCCGTGAAATTTAGTACAGCTATAAATATGGGTGTGGTTTGCATAAGGTTGCAACTTTAAACAATCAAATTAAAATGCACCTCTAAACTTTGTCATGAAGTGCTATTTTGGTGTTAAAAAATGGTTCAGATCAAGTAGATCTATAAACACATGAAGATCTTGAAAATAGATGGTCTAGATAATATATTGCAAAATATTCTATTTTTTGGACTTTAATTCTCTTTTTTCCTCCATATTTATATATCTCAATGTCAATATGATCAATTAGATGTTTTTTAAAGATCAAAACAACTTTTTTCGAAGATTTTATAGATGCACCCTATTTCTACATTTTAAGGTGTCAACCTAATATAATCTTTTTTATACAAATAAAAAAAATGGGGTTATCAAATTTTTATTTGAATTTTTAATGCATTAATTTTTGTTTTAATGAATAGGATAGGGTATGAGTTGTTTAGTGAATAGGGTAGTGTGTGAGTTGTTTTGGGGATATGATTGGTTTTAATATTAAACAAATGATTAGTAGGTTTTTAATAGATAAATGTTAATTAGGTTTTAGTTAGGATAAGACTTATTTGAGGTGGTTTGATAAGGGAGAGGTGAGTTTGAGAGAGAGAAAGTTTATTGTTTTAGGGGATTTTATTATTTATTTATTTTTTCTTTCTTCTAATTGTATTTATAGGGGAGATATTTCTTCTTTGTACATAGAGATTGGAATTGAATAAAGAATTTGGATATTGTGAAAAAATATTTTGGGATGGGTTCCTTTATAGACTTGAGAGAGGATATATTCATTATTTTTATTTTAATTATTTATTCCATCATCTTCCCTGCATTAATTGGTATCATAGCAAGTAAGATCTATCAATCACAATGTCATCAAAATCTTCTCTTACACTCGAGGATATATTATTGCAAATCATGGAGTTTGTGGATCAACAAATTAAAAAGAGCATGAACAAAATCATGGAGAATATCCGAAAAGACATAAGCGAAATTAAACAGTAAGTACAATGGTTAGAGAATACTATTCTTCGAGAAGAGAGTGCATGCAACCATGAAGATCTAGCACTATACTTCATCGTAGATATGAATCGAGGCCCACAACTAACTAGGGGTGTCGACCTTGAATATGACGATCATATTATGATGTATGAATCATTATCTGAGGAGCTTCCACATATATTGGTATTCAGCTCGATCTTCCCAAATATTACCAGGAACTTGAAAAAGAAAAAGAAATCACAATTGAGCCTAGAATAACAGTGTTATACTTCAAGTTGAGCACAAAGTACTTGATGGATCAGTTTATTGAAGGAAAAGTGCGAGGTGCATGATGGGACTGCATCACCAATTATTTAATTAGCTTCTACATGGTGTAAGCTCGAAGTCGATCTTCTCCCAACCCTGACAGAATGACCCAAATAAAAATTTGGGGTTATCAAAGTTTTTATATATTTTATTTAATAGATTAATTTTTGTTTTAGTGAATAGGGTAGTACATGAGTTGTTTAGTGATAGGGTAGTATGTAAGTTGTTTAGTAAATAGGGTAGTGCCTGAGTTGTTTTGGGGATGTGGTTATTTTTAATTAGGGAAAGGATTAAGTTGGTTTTAAATACACAAATGTTAATTAGGTTTAGTTAGGACAAGGCTTACTTGATATGGTTTGATAAGGGACACGTGAGTTTGAGAGAGAGGCAGAGTACTTACTTTTTGTGGGTTTACTTGTTTATCTTTTTTTTAAGTATATTTAAAAAGGAGATGTCATTCTTTATACATAGAAATTGAAATTGAGTAAAGAATTTGGGTCTTGTGAAAAGATATTTTAGGATGGATTTGTTTACATATCATCATAAAGAGGTATATTCTTTCACCCTTTATTGTTATTATTATTTTAATTATTTTTTCCCTCATCTTTCTTATATCACTTTTTTTTTGTTAGTTTATGAGAAAGTCTTAAGAGAGAGAGAGAGGGATAATTTTTATGTTCTACAACATAGGAAAATACTAGCTCAAAAGCATGTTATGTTAGAAAACTTGGTAATTCATATTTTTTTTGTTTGTATGTCTATTGGTATTGAGAGAGAATCCTAGAAATTTCAAAAGTGAACATTCTATAAACACACTAGGCTAAGCATATTCCTTGTTCAATCCTTTTTTTTTTTTTTGCACAGCTCTCCCCTCAGCCTTCTTACAGTTATATAATTGCTTAAGGCAACAGATCATGGGGATTATACTCTATAGAGCATGGAGAATGAATTAGGAAGGATGGGTGAGACTCCTAAAACATCCCCAATTGGCATCTCTCCTATTCCTGATGTGTTGAGCTTGGAAGAAGGCAAGACTTCTTTTACTAGTGTTTGCCAAGACAGCCCTCTAAGGCTTCGTCTCTCTCCATCATTCATCGTCTCAATACAAAAGGTGAGCACATATGATATGCTCCCTCATAAGCATATTATGCATCTACTCCCTCGCTCGAGATACTGATTTAGGATGATTTTCTTTTTTTCAGTCTAAAATTTTGAGAACCATGTAAGAATTGCTAGATGATTATTTAAAAAAATATTTAAATTTTGAGTTTTGTGGCCCTTAGATCTAGCCCTTTAAAAATTGGATCGTATCTATGCAATCAATGCATTAGTTTTTTCTAGTACATAGAGATTCTATTTCACGAATTTTTTTTTGTTGCTATGATTATTCTATTGGTTGTAGAGATTATGTTCTAGTGGTAATATACTAATATTACTATTGTTTATTTTTACAATTAAAAAAAAAAGTTGTTGAAAGTTTTGTTTCCCATTCAAAATAACAAAATGAGTCCTCTTCATCATTTCAATATTTGATAATAATGCAAAACAGTGCATAATAAGAGCATTATTTAAAGTGACGATGTAGAAGTGTTGTCTCTTTCAGATTATTGCAGAGATGCTTGCTTCATATTTTGTGGTATTTGTGGGTTGCGCATCACTTCTCATGGATGCTGATAAGCACAACATAGGTTTAGTGGGCGTTGCAATTGTGTGGGGTTCGGTTGTGATGGTGATGATTTACACAATTGGTCATGTATCAGGAGGGCATTTCAACCCAGCTGTGACCATTGCCTTTGCATCTATTGGCCGCTTTCCATGGAAGAGTGTGAGAAAACCCTAAAACTTGTAGCCCTAATTTGTGTCTTTTGGTGATCTATGCTTCTCTATCTATTTGTAAGGGTGGCAATGGACCCGACTAGACTCGGGACCCAATGGGTAGACCAACCTCGGGTTTAGGTAAGAGTTCAATGTTGGACCTGACGAGTCGGGTCAAGGTCCAAAACCTGGACCCGACCTGCACATTACTCGGGTCTGGGTTCGGGTCGCAACCGGACCCAACCTGCAGTTATAAACCGTTAAAGATAAAATATTTTATTTTGAGTCATATTCGTTTGGGTGTAGCAAGAATCATATACAATAAGAACTCGCAGTCATTTTTAGCTATTAAACGACAAATCAGACGGCTTGCCAATAATTTGGGCATATGATGGTAAAAAAAGGGAAAAAAAAAAAAGCTCATAGTCATAGGGCGGCAATGGACCCGACCAGACCCGGTAACCGACGGGTCGGATCCAGGTCAAAAACTTGGACCTAAATACCATTCGAGTCCGCGTCCAGCCGGACCGGACCCATTGTCACCCCTATCTATTTGAGCTTGAATTTGGCACAGGAAAAATGCATATTTCACGGTTCAAATACAGTGTCATTCTTTGAGTGTATGAATAGCCACACGAGTTAAAGAACTTAGATCAAATACAGTGTCATTCTTTGAGTGTATGAATAGCCACACGAGTTAAAAAACTTACTTAGAGCTGAGTGAAACTACACCATATTTATACTAGTAGTATATAGTGACACACAATGGGTAATATCCATAATCTTTTCTGGATGGTGAACGGTTGAGATTGACGGTAACTACGTAAACTTATGTCAGGGTGGAATTTGTTTGATCTCAATTGTCTAGTGTTAGGGATGATAGACGATGGATGTCTACGTGATGTATCATATACCATAAATCTCCGGTGTATAGCAAGTATACTATGTGTGTTATATACTATATACGATAATAGACTATTTTTTCTTACTACAAGCATAAACAAGACCATTTTTTTATCGTACGAAGATGTCATAATCACTCTTAGCTGATATAAAATCTGACAGATATGGATGTCCTAGTGAAGAGACTCAAAGCTCAGAAGGGCACTAAATTTCGAACTTTATGACAAACTCAAAGTTGTCGAATTTCACATAGGATGGCTAGAAGTGATTGTGACCTCCTCATAGGCAAATGGTCTTAGATTATACAATCCCTTTTCCTTATGTGCTTCGAACTTTTTATGATCATATAGATCATAGAATACATTTTCTCTTAAGATAAACCTGATCCCGATCCTACCAATGGTTATAACTAGTTTTATTGCACCTTAATCTAATACTGGGCAGGAACTTTATCTTTCATGTAGGTGCCCACTTATGTTGCAGCTCAAGTCCTGGGTTCGACTCTTGCTAATGCTACTTTGAGGATATTGTACCAGACCAAGAAGGTTAATGTTTCTATGACACTGCCCGCAGGGACTGACATTGAGTCACTGGGATGGGAATTTATAATGGCATTCCTTCTTATGTTTGTGGTTTGTGGAGTGGTAACTGATAGTAGGGCGGTATGTATTTGATCATGTCTATTATTTTGTGAAATGTTTAATATTTTTTGTTAGGCTTTATTATTATTGTTGTTGTTGTCGTCGTCAGTGGCCGATTTTTTTTCTTTTGGTGGAGGTTGTTCTCCAATTCTGCGATCTTATTGATTCTATACAGTTCTTGCTTTTGAAATTTTAGGAATTTTATCTCCATAACTTTTGAATAAATTAGATTTACATAGGTGTTGCCTGTGTAAGCATCAATTCTTAAACGGACACCGATGCTTGCACTGGTCTACAAGCGTGAACAGTCTTGTACTTCAGATTGAAAGCCAACATAGCTAAACATGTCCATAATGTAAGTTTTTATAACTAAAAAATTACATTCTAATATATAAAATATAATATCTCTTTTTAAACCACATAAAAGTTGTCAATGACTTAGGAGAATAGAGGGCTTCGAATAAATGACTTGATGCAAAATCCTGTTAGAAACATTTTCATAGTTTTTTATTATTTTTATTTAGTACACCCAAAGTTCTTTAAGTGTCAACATCATATTGATACATGGCACCAACCAGGGGCTGTAAGTCTAGTAGCAACATTGGTTACGCATGTGTATGCGTACATACAATCACATGTATTAATGTATGCATGCATGTATGAGTAAGCTCAAATTTTTAGGGCTCCTAGCACCTAAATAATGAAGCTCCCTGACCTAAGGAACCATTTGGGGGTGGCTAATGGACCCCAAAAAGCTACAAATCTCTTAATCAGATTGATTTTTAGTTCCAAGGCCACTCCAAAATTTTACAACCACTGCTCTTTCAGATGGATTTGGGATGGCAATTCCTTTCTTTGTTTGTCTAAAGATTTGTATTTCAGAGGTGTGAAAATTTATTTGGAGCTTTTTTGGGATCCCTTACCCACCTTGAAAGTGATTTTTAAGGTCGGGAAGCATCACCATTGGTATTTCTATTGGAGGGCTAAAAGTTATTAACCCTATGTCGCATACACTTATTAGTAGGGTTGAGGATTTACGCGGGTTCGGATCTAAAGTTCATATTTCGGATCCAGCTATGGATCCAAAATTCGGATCAAATCTGGGTACAGGTGAATTCAATCCGGATCCGACCCCGTTATTAAAACAATATATATGATTTACATTTACTAATTTATATATTTAATGTATATAATATTTTTAACTTTTAAAAACCTAATACCCATTTTGGATTGGTTTGTAGAACTGGTCAGATCCGGATCCGGATCTAGATCTTAGGGATAGTTTTTAGATCCTAATCCTATGTATTCTTTTCAGATGTGGATCCAGATCTAGGCAGATCTGGACCCTATCTGAAAAATTATCTGGTATGCATGTGCACACACCCATTACCTTGATAGAGCACCATGGACAAAAGTACATCCATGTTATTTAATAAATTTCCCTTTATAAACCGTTATTGCCCTATGAATTTTGACAGATTGGAGAGCTTGCGGGGGTTACAATAGGAGCAACTGTCCTAGCTAATGCACTCATTGCGGGGTAACTACAATTACTTTACTTAATTGCATTGTTCTTTGGGATGGTATACAGTGAGACTATGTACCTTTGGAATAGGTAAGTCACAAGAATTACAACCATCCGATATGAAATCTGATAGCTTTGGTGTGTCACAAAGTTTGAGAATTTTTTTTTTTGAATTTTGTGCTTGGTCAATGAAATAAATGTAGCCACTCAATTTCACATCCAATGGTCAAGATTTATTGTGACCACTTTGTACAAAATATAAATGGTCTTATCATATACTTTCACCAAGCACAAAATTCAAAAGAATTTTTCTCGAACTTTATTACACACCCAACCTATCAGATTTCACATCTGATAGTTGTAAGTATTGTGACCTCCCTATTCCAAAAGTAAATGGTCTCATTGTATACAATCCCTAATCATATTGGTTTTTAGTTCTAAGGCCACTCCAAATTCTTGAAAAACATATGGACTTGAAAGTACCTAGAAACAGGCATAGGCCCATTTGTTGCATTTAGGGCAGTGTAAAACTAATCCTTACCAAAGGATACATGAGTAAAGACACAATAATCATTTTTCAACCAAAAAATGAGGACATATGAAAATTTGAAAAAAGGTGCGGTTTGTATAGAGCCTAGGCTCTAAACAATCAAATTAGAGTCTACCTTCAAATAGTACCTTCAATACTATAAATCTTTGTGATAGCTTTAAAATATATTTTCATATTTATTTATAAATTTTAAAGCTTCAAAAATAGTGTAGATCAACATATCTATGAAAACTTGAAAATCTTGAAAATTGACAGTCCAAAAATGCATTACAAAATACATTATTTTCAAAACTTAAAATCCATTTTTTCTTATGTCCATAGATCTTGATGTCGATATGATCAATTTGAAGATATTTGGGCATCAAAACAACCTCTTCTAGTGAAATTTTTGAGGCAGGCTCAAATTTGATTGTTTAGAGCCTCGACTCTATATAAACTTTTCCCTTTGCAAAATTGTAAAGAGTTTTATTTTTTATATTTTTTATTTTTTATTTTCATTTTAAATTGGAAAAGTCTACTCTAAGTCCCCCCGACTCTAGGTCTTTCAAAGACTTAGCATTCAAAACACCTTTTATATAACTAGAACTACAATCTTGTTCTAGATCCAGTTTTTTCCAACTCCAAAATGCAGATCTACGGATCTGTGAAGAAGCAAAAAAAAGGTTCAAATTTATTTTTCAAAATATGCCCTTTTATTAAAATTTTATTTATTTATCCATATTCTTGATCACTATAGTTGAGATTATTGACTCCTAAATGTTTTGATCCAAAATCAATTTGACTTGAATTTTTTGGATGCGGATACATATAAACAGGTGTGTGGCTCAAAACATCAAAACCTCACCCTTTAAAATTTCATATACCTTTTCATGACTTGTGACTTATTCCACCAGGGCTATATCTGGAGCCTCCATGAACCCGGCAAGGAGTGTGGGAGCTGCAGTTGTAAAAGGAGACCTAGAAAAGCTTTGGATTTATCTTGTGGGACCCACAGCTGGGGCAGTCATTGGAGCCCACACCTATAATATACTAAGGTCAATTGCTATTTACTGAAATGGGGTGGAGGTTGTGGTGGTACCACCACTTGAATTTCAGCTATCGATTTAGGTTTCCATTCCCACTGACGCATTCGAAAACCACTAACCATTTCTAAAATTGGTCTGCCCAAAAAAAAAAAAGTTATATTTCCCAAGAAAATGAAGAATGAAAGAAAGTATAATGAATGTCATGTATTTGCTTGGTTCATACTGGTCCTAAAATAAAAGTGTCAAGCCCATATGATTTCCGATGAGTCAAGTGGCTTCTGTTAATATTTTTGAAATAGTGGAGGAAATTGTTACTATTTTTAGTTTGAAAAATGCTTAACAGTATTTCAAAACAACCACTTTGGTTTTATTGTTCTTTCTTAAAATACTTTGTAGAGAGAGAAAGATGTAGGTTTGAGTCCTATATTGAAGATGAGAGAGTTTGTTGAGCTATATTTAAGAGCATTCCCATGCAATATACTCTAAGTACAAATGGAGATAAGACACATGTATAGAGCACACGAAGCGTGCGATGTGAGTGTGCATATGCATGTGCATGTGCGAGTGCGAGTTGTTGGAGTGCAAGTAACACATGTAACTTATAGCTGTTGGATGATACATGTAACCACCACAACACTAAATAGGTAGCCTCTTGGTGCTCTATAACAAGGGTACTCCTACCCATATGATTTTGAATACTTGGAACAAATTTTTAGCGTATCTCAATAGACTATTCTCTGCAATTCCAGTAAACAAACCAGTGGGCAAGCTCTCTCTATTCGATTTTATCTCTTTCTCTCTCTAAACTTTCTAGACTCTGGTGTCTATTGTGTGGGTACCAATCTCAAGTGCATAGAGCTTAGGAATATCATATAAGACCTCTCTGTTTTTTTGTATCCCGAGGATGAGTTGTCCTTCTTATGCATATCAATTAATAAATCGAAATGAGCATATATCGTCTTGAGATAGCGCTCTTGCGTGCTCGAAAACAAGAAGAGTTCGAGATTGATTTTTGTAAATCGTATCATTTTTTTTCCCCCATTACACTCAACCAAACTTCGAACAATTCATGACTTCTTTGAAGGTCATGAATCACGACTTTACTCGACTCGAATGCTTCAACGGGCCGAATTTCAAGAGATGGCAGCTACATGTTCTCTTTTTGCTTACCACTCTCAAAGTGGCTTCATAGTCACCGAGTCAATGTCTGCACCGCCACCACCATCAGATGACTCTACAGACGAGCAAACTCAATCATACAAGAGATGGATGGAGGGTGATTATATATGCAAGGGTCACATCCTAAATACCTTGACATGTATGCCTCTATTGGCACGGTGAGAGAGCTTCGGAAAGTACCTGAAACCAAGTACCTCACAGAAGAGTCTAGTAACAAAATATTTTTGATCTCCAACTTTTGTAGATTTTAAATTCATTAAAAACAAGTCTATTCTCTCTCAAGTATATGAGTTGCAACTTGTAGTCAATGAACTTAAAGATTGTAGTATTTCTATGGATGAATACTTTCTAGTAGGCTCTATAATTCATAAGTTACCACGTCTTGGAGAAAGTACCAAAAAAAGATGAAATACAAGAAAGTTGATCTTAATTTGGTCCAACTTCAAAGATCTCTTCGAATTGAAGAAGAGAAAAGACTTAGGGGAAAGAAAGATGAATCATTTAATTTTCACTCTAAGGCAAACCTTATGGAGCAAAAATCAATTGCTCCTTATAACAAGAAGCATTTCTCTTCTTAGGTCAATAATGAAAATTATAAGGACCAAAAGTTTATTGCCAACAAAAAAAAAAGCCAGTTGTTATGTATGTGAAAAACCGGGACAGTATTCAAAAAAGTGTCGACACCGAAAATAGCTCAAGAGGCCTAGAGACCAAGTGAACTTGACCATTGAAAAAATATTTGTAGCAATGGTAACCGAAGTAAACTTGATCGATAAAGACAATGGATGGTGGGTCGATATCGACGCTACCATTCATGTATCTAATGATCGAGAAATGTTTAACACTTTTGAATAAGTGGCGACGGTAATTCAGTTCAACTTGGAACCCAAGCTATGGCAAATATGCTTGGAAAGGGTACTCACCTTAAAAAATATGTACTACGTACCAGACATGAAAAGAAACATTGTTTCAAGATGTATCTTGATTAATAAGGGCTTTAAAATGGTCATTGGGTCTGACAAAGTCATCTTGTTTCCATTAAATCTTTGGTTAAATTAGGATTAAATTCTAATTTGCTGAATTAACTAAAGAAAAAAAGTGAAGTATATGTACAAAGCTAAAATAACTAGAAAACATTTTCCTTCTATTGAAAGAAATAGTGAATTGTTAGGACGTGATGTATGTGATCTAAATAATGTTCTAACTAGAAGTGGTAAAAGATACTTTATTATCTTTATTGATGATTTTTCTAGATTTTCTTATGTTTATTTGCTTAAACATAAAGATGAGCTTTTTGAAAAATTTAAGGTTTTCAAAGTGGAAGTTGAAATCAACTTAGTAAGAAAATCAAAATCATTAGAAGTGATAAAGGATGAGAATATTTATCAAATGACATTAATGAATTTTGTGAAAATAATGGCATTATTCATCAAGTAACTGCTCCATATACCCCTCAACAAAATAAACTAACGGAAAGAAAAAATAGAACTTTAGCTGAAATGGTAAATGCAATACTTATTTATTCTTCCTTGCCATTGAATTTGTGGGGTGAAGCTTTATTATCTGCATGCTTTATTTTAAATAGGATTCCACATAAAAAGTATGATCAGGCCCCTTATGAGCTTTAGTTTGATAAAAAACCTTCTTTTGAATTTTTTTCAAAATATGGGATTGTCTTGCATATGTTAGACTTTCATATCCTACAAAATATGAATTGGGTCCTAGGACATCTAAATGTGTTTTTGTGGGATATTCTCATAATAGTAAAACTTATAAAAAAAAATTATTCTAATTTCTAATACATTTTTGGAATTTAGAGATGCTAATTTTTTTGAAAATCTCACTTGTAAAAGTGAAGTGAATGAATCAAGTGGCACGCAAAATAAAAATAATCATGAAAATGATCATTATATTGATGAAAAACATGTAGAAAATAATAATGATGAAATAATAGAACCAAGAAGAAGTAAAAGAATTAGAGGAGATCCATTTTACAACTTTAGACCTGATTTTTATATTTATCTTGATGAGGCTAATCAAAATAAAATTTTGAATTCATTACCTATAGTCTCAAATGTGGAGGAAGATCTTACATCTTTAAATAAAGCTTTGGCATATCAAGATGCAATTTTTTTTAAGAGAAGCTATTAATAATGAAATGGATTCCATAATTCCATAATAGCTAATAAAACTTGGAAATTAATAGATCTTCCACTAAGTTCTAAACCCATTAAGTGTAAATGGATTTTTAAAAGACAAATGAATTCTGATGGTTCTATTAATAAATATAAAGCATGATTAGTTGCTAAAGGTTTTAAACAAAAAAAAAGACAATAATTATTTTGACACATCTGCACCTGTGGCAAGAATTGCTACTATCAGATTGCTTTTAATAATAGCCTTTTCTAATCATCTTTTCATACATCAAATGGATGTAAAAACTGTTTTCTTAAATGGTGACTTAGATGAAGAAATATATATGGAACAACCCGAAGGGTTTGTAATGTCAGGTCATGAGAATAAAGTTTGTAAATTGATTAAATCTCTTTATGAACTAAAACAAGCGCCTTAACAATGGCCTAAGAAATTAGACAATGTGTTGATGTCAAATAGCTTTAAGAGAAATGGGGCTAATAAATGTGTATATCGTAAGAAAATGAATTTTTTATGTATCATAATTTGTTTATATGTGGATAACATGCTTATCTTTGGCTCTAATCTAGAAATTGTGGAGGAAACTAAAAAGTTCCTCACACCTAACTTTGATATGAAAGACATAGGAGAGGCTGACGTGATACTTGGTATCAAAATAGTAAGAAAAGAAAAAATATTAATTTTGACTCAATCTCACTACATTGAAAAATGCTTAATAAATTTGAGCATATTGATAGTAAGTCAATCTCTACCCCTATAGTTCCTCATATTAAGTTAAAGAAAAATGATGGAATATGTATATCTCAACTTGAATATGCTAAGGTAATTGGTATTTTAATGTATTCAATGACTAGCGCAAGGCCTGACATTGTATATGCGGTAGAAAAACTTGGTAGCTATACAAGTTGCCCAAGTAAAGAGCATTGATATGTTATATCTCGAGCATTAAGATACTTGAAATGATCTATCAATTATGGCATAAAATATGTGAGTTATCCTGGAGTGTTGGAAGGGTTTAGTGATGCTAACTGGATTAATGAAATCCAATATTCACTATCAACATCCTGATGGATATTTACATCAGCAGGTAATGCGATATCATGGGGGTTAAATAAACAAATGTATATTTCATGCTCTACTATAGAGTATGAAATTATTGCTTTAAACTCTGTCGGTAAAGAGGCCAAATGGCTAAAGAATTCGTTATATGACATTCTCATATGGCCAAAGTCAATACATGCAAGAACAATATATTGTGATAATCAAGTTATTATTGCTAAAGTTTGTAATGATGTATATAATGGAAAATCCACATATATTGCAAGAATGCATAACTCCATTAAAATGTTAATTGGGGATATAGTAATTAGTGTAGAATATATAAGATCAAAATAAAATTTGGTTAATCCTTTGATTAAAGGCCTACAAGGGATGATATTAGTAAGATGTCAAAACGAATGGGGCTAAAGTCCATTGAGTAATTATCTACAGTGGGAACCCAACTTAGTATTTTGTAACCTCAAAATTCTAAGTTCAATGTGGTAAAAACAAACTGCACGTATAGTTAGTTTGGTCACTAGACGATAAAATATAAAAAGCACCCATTCATAGAAAATTTATAAAGTAGATAAATCTAGTGATGACCTATATATTAGTGGGATGAGTTATGCTCTTAATGTTGTTTATGGACTATATATATAAATCGGAGTGTTTTTATATACAGGGACACTCTTGATAGACACACCTATATAAGTGAGGAAGTGAAGCCGCTTCTTTGAAGGTCTGTGCTTCGTACCCGTGAACTATTCATCCAAAATATTCAGCTCCGACCGAGGGAAGGAATAGAGTCAAATTTTGGACAGATGTATAGGTGGGCAACACTCCTCTCAAGGATCAGTACCCCAACCTTTTCCGTTTAGCCTGTGATGCTTGTTCCTCAGTAGCTAACAATTTTAGTGGTGTCGGAAGTTCAAGATCTTGGAAGCCAGATTTCAGAAGACCTTTCTTGGAACATGAGCTCGAGGAATTCAGTTCCATGGCTGGTACTATTCAATCTGTATACCTCACGCACTCTGGAGTTAATCTGGGCCCCCACTCCCACAGGTGTTTTCTCAGTATCTTCCTTCTTTTGTGCATCCTCTTCCCCCTCTAACCCCTCTGGCCCATCTGGTGCTATTGCGTCTGGAGCATGGAACCCCTTCATCCCTCCTAGGATCCAGGTACTCTGGTGGATTACAATTCATGGGAGTGCGTTAACAGTTGATCAACTGCAGAGGAAAGGAGTCCAAACCCCGATAGATGTGTTATGTGTATGGAGGAAGAAGAGTCAAATGAACACCTCTTTCTACACTGGTTTTTCTCAGGCACTTTGGAGTAACATTATGTCCTAGTTCAACTGGACCTGGGTTAGCCCGAGTTCTATCGCCCATTTGTTCCAAGCCTACCACACATCACCTTGGCCCAAAGCAAGGAGACTGCTGTGGAAAGCTACAATTGCTGCCACGGCTTGGGTTCTTTGGATTGAAATCACATGATTTTTAGGGAGGAGAGGGCCACGGTCGAGCATCTGGCTGAGAAAGTAAGGAACCTCGTTGTTGTCTGCGCCACTAACCGTGACTTGTTTAAGACCTAGTACTAGACAGACGTCCACAGTAACCGGTTGAACCTTTTACATTTCGACCCTCTCAGCGTTATGAGGTCCTCCCTGTGGAAACCTCCGAAAAAAAAAACCCTTAAACTTAACTTTGACGGTTGCTCTATGGGGAATCTGAAACCCTCAGGTATAGGGGGCTATTGTGGGATGGAGCTGGGTTTGATGAGCGTCTCTAGAGCTATTGGAATAGCCAACTCGACTCTTGCCGAAGCTTCTGCGCTCTTGGAGGGCCTTCGCAAGTATGATTCCTCCTTAGGCCCTGACTTTATAGTCGAAGGTGATGCCGTAAACATTTTCTTGGTATCGAATCACGTGGCCTAGCTTGGCTGCGGTGCCTTGACGACATTTTCAAAAAAGAATTATTCATCACCAGAGACCTCTTAGTTACCTGGCAACACGTGTATAAAGAAGCTAATTTTGATACATATTAAGTTGGCCAAGGAGGGGCTTCTAGTTAATTTTCCCCCTCCCTGCCTCTTACCATATTCCTTGTAATTTTCTGTGCATCGATTGGACCCTCAGTGAGCTTATATTGGGGCTCCACAGTTCTTGTATGTTCTGTGTAGATTTTTGAAATACACTGAATTTTACCAAAAAAAAAAAATCCATTTGAGTCTCACCCATCTAGAACATGCACCTCTCTCTCTCTCCCTCTCTCTCGATCTCTCTCGATACGTCATTTATACATATTTGAACGCACAGACGGAGCAATGTTTAAATTTTTGCAAAATCCTATAGATGTCACATTCTTTATAGTCACAATCTTCATTATAGATGCGAAATCCTATAAATGTCACAACATTCGAAAAATTTTATCTTATACATTGTGCCCAATTAACGACACATTCTTTAACCACCCGATTCAAATCTAACGGTCAATGATGATTGTAACCTCCTTAAATCAAAAATAAATAGTATCGTACAAATACATAAAGACTCAATCTTTTACGTATCCAAAAATGATTGTATTGATTTTCTCATGTCAATCAAATTATAAATTCCCAAAACGCCAAAAAAAAAAAACAGCCACCACAAATCAAAACAAGCTAGACAATGGTTCTCAGCAATTAATAAGACGAGAAAAAACTGAGGTTTGGGGCATGACTGGAAGAGGACTTGCTTAAACTCGGTAGTAGAATTCAAAGGATTTGGCAAGATACTTAGATACACTATTAAATACAATCAGTATTTGGAAAAAGGAATTGGAATCTCATATAAAGAAGCAATCTAGAAGAGATCTTCCTGCAAAAACTGCTGGAAATATTTTTATTAGAACTCCGGCATCCATAAACTTATAACAGGAGTTCTCATATTTTATCCATTTGACATTCAGCTCAAATATTCAAGACCTGCAGAATCCTGGGATCATGTTACGTACCACCAAAAATCTAAAAACGATTTCTCAACCATGTCTAAAACAAGGCCATGTCTTTCAAAACAAACACCAACTCTGGCACGAGGGGAGCACGAGACTCAACGCCCACAACATGTATACAGAGGACTGCCGAACTTAGGGGTCCATGTGAAATGGCCCATTTTCTATTCCCTCATTGATCAAGGTGAGGGGTGGTGTTTTCTGCAAAATTTGGAGGACCAGCCGGTAGAGGCACCATATATAGCATCAATCAAGGAAGAGAGTGTTCTCTCTAAATTTAGAGGTACCACCAAAATTGCCGCTATATCTTGTCATATATCAGTCGATGTGGAGATGGTGCTTTTTCTGCCGGCATCTGTTGACATACCATGCAGCATGCATGCGCAAGCCTAAGCCCACAAGAATCTTAAGCATGGCTAGCATGGCATAGGTCATGGAAGTGAGGACAGAAATCCAAAAGAGCCTCCAAGGTAGTGGCCCATAAGGAAGGTGAGCTGCATATATTGGAGTAAGAACTCTAATAACCTGGACCACAACCAAACAACAAATTACACCATCAGTTAATCGCATCTTTCTGGAAAGCGAAGCATGTGGTGATGCATATGATCATAGAAACGCTTTGATTGTACCATCAACATTTGACCAATGGACGGACAGGGTGTAGAGAGAGGGAGTCAGGCTCACCAAAACATGAAATGACCAAGTCGTAGCCTAAATTAGAATGGGACACACCAGAACATAAAATCATCCAGATCCTAGATCTACTCTCTCCATTACCGCCCATTGTATGGCAGTGATGTCACCAAACCAATTACCATAGGTTTCATGTTTTTTCAATTCTACCACAAGCGTTTCTAAGGTCATAAGATCATACCATACTTTCCCACCTTAAGAGGGGAAACCATGCAACAAAGGTTGCATCCACCACAGGATCCCACCAATGGACATCCTGGAGTAGGGCCATGGAGAGATTCACCCAGGTATGGTTAATCTCCCATCATCCATTGAGGGAACACAAAGTGGATGTAGCCCCAATTGTAGACCATGGTGGATTATGGTTTTATACTCTTCCTTCAAAAGATTACAGCTTAAGAAATAATTTTATCAAAATAAAGAGTTCATTAAAAAAAAAGGTAAAAACAAATAATTGGTTTTGGGAAATTATGTATGTTTAAACCATATGAGAGGATTTGAACAAACACACCACACATGCTGGAGCAAGTGGGACAAAAGTCAAGTTCTTCCGGCCTTCTTCAGAAGGGATATCCAGAGTCTGCATATATTCACCATTAAATAAGATATCTATCAACAAGCTCAATAAATCAAGAGTTAACAAGAGAGAGAATAACATGTATGCCAAGGTGAAAACCAAAGAATATTATGTAAGAGATTCCAGGCTATTGATGCGTATGTGTACGAGTTAGACATTTTGTGAAATATCTTTAACAATTTTCAGGACCAAAAGACTCAACAATTATGACCCGTGACGAAACAGATTATGGGCCAATCTCGATCAGCACAATCGATAAATTTAAAATAAGCAGCATTGATTATGTCAAAGACAATATGAGAACAACACAAAAAACAACTGAGTATAAGGGCAACAGAAACCATGGATCCAAATCTCAATGAATTTCTACAGTTGATTCTTCAAAGACAATTAAGTTTGAGCTCTTATTCTCCAGTCCACCACTAATGGTCAAGTGTCCTCGCATAAACCTCATCTAGCCCATACCCCATTTTCTACCCTCCAGAACCCTGTTGCAACCCCATCTGTAATCGCCGCACCCCGGCTATATGAAGCAAAATGCACCTAACTAAACAGGCCCCACCCCTCCCAACCACCCAACAGTCAGGGATGCCCATACCCATTGGCATCCACAAGCTCAGTACTTCAGAAATATTTTCACCCTGAACCACCAGAAGGGACTGCAAAATTCCTCAATGAACCATAATGCGACTAACTTGAGTATCTCCTTCCATATACTTGCTTCTCTCTCCTTGCCCTCTCTTGTTATCTTTCTTTGGAATTAGACATAAGTCATGATTCACAAGATATATAAAGTTGTCAATTGTAAAATATGGAAGAAATCATGGCAGTCAGAAAGTTTGTGGGTCATAAAAAATTGGAGATCCAATCTCCATTGTATATGAACCAAAAATGTGCAGGTGAAACTTACTCTCAAAGTAGAGGATACTCGATTCCAAGTTGGTGGAATCATGGTTCTGCTTACTCGGAACCATGATTTTTGGCATAGGGATCTCGATCCCATTAATTGGATGGAGTTCCCCGATTCCCCTTATCAAGGAATCCCCCATTAATCGAGATACCGTGTCCCGAAGCGCGGGATCGAGGTTCTGGAGCAAAAGTGACCCCCCCATAGAAGATCCCGGTAACTATGGTAGGGCATATACGAAGCCTACTTTTACAAGAATTTGGGGCACAATGTAGTGCCCGAAACAACTTAACAAATATCCCAGGTCTGCTTCTTGCCTCTTCTACTGAAGACAGGTTAATTCTTTGGAGGGCATCAATCCTTGTCTTGTTATGAAATGTATGGCTAGAATGTAACTGGAGGACTTTCAAAGGCAAGGTGAGAGCCATCCTAAATGTTAAGAGGACACAGAAATAGAAGTGGTTGAATGAATGAGACAGCTCAAAGGCTCAAAACTTGCACAACCTTGGACATCCTACTAAACTGGGACACTCTAGCCAGATCTCATGGGGCAATCACTACTAGATCCTCATGCTGGCTACCACTGAACTGGGCACCATGAAACTAAAATCTTGACGGGTGTTCACATGGCAACCCAGATAGGGCAGGTGTGGGAGGAGAGGGCTACCCAAGGTTCCTCAATCTTATCTTCCTCAGGGCCCATTGGCATTGCCACTTCATCTATGCCCAAGGCATGCATTCTCCACCTACAAGGCCTCAAGCTACTTGACATAAGTTGGGGCACCTCACTAGTCACTGATAAGGTATTTGAAAAACACTAACAATTGGGCCAATAGAGTCTCTATCTGTCCATGGAGACTGGACCAGTATATGTGCCACACTTAAACATCCCATTTCACCATACTTGGCGAGAGGCTAACAGCATTGCGGATGGCTTGGCTACACGGCTTTTCAAAACATCTCTATTGCTAAACCCACCCTGAGGATGAAGTCACCCACAATTCTTTCTATCCTATGGCTGTTTGATCATGTTTAGAGACTGAGCAGCCTCTTTTGGTTTCTGGAAGGCTTCTCTCAATATTGTACGGTATACAGTATATTCTATTTTTATGTGTAACACTTTAACAATGTATTTCATACAGTTACCTTCATTAAAAAGAAAGCCAATTAAGATTATCAAAATTGGTCTTAAAACAAAATGTGCTATCCTTTCCGCAAAAGCGTTCAGGGTAGAAAATGGTACCTAGGTAAAATTCTGACTCCTGTACCCAATTTATTCTTTTCCAGGTGCCAAAAATAAGGAGAATACCTGTTTGCATAGATCCTCCAGGAACTCCGAGTATGCTTCAGGTTTTACTTCATTGAACTTCGCAAGAAAAGAATGCTTGATAATATCAACAGCCACTTCGCTTGCACACACGAGGAAGGCATTCTGTATTTGTTTTAAAAAGACGTGTGTTAAACAAACATCCCATTATAAATAATATCAATGATTCACCAAAAAAAGCCTCGTTAATAATAGACATAGTTGATGAGAGAAACTAAGCCTTGTAATCAAGGAGTAGTAGAGGATAGGAGCTTACAGTTAGGAAACTATTGAACCATGGACCCTCTGCCTCCAAAATATTTTGAGCTAGTACAAAAATAATATATGCCATTATGTGGAACCTCTCCACGGTGTCTGCAATAATAAAAAGAAGCACAGTATACATAAGAATCACCACCTAAAACTGCAAATTTGTATAAGCCTGCACAGGTAGAAGTTATCCAAGAGTATGTAGAATAAACCAACAAACAGATTGAAAGAAAATATGACACCAGGACGTATGACTTTTTCATGTCCTACAAAATGGGCGGACAGTTGAAAGATAGCTGATTCTCCAACATGTGTAACTTCCAGGCACCAAATCCGCAGCTAGGGGATTGCTTACATGTGTACTCATATGTCCATGGTGTAATGACAAATAGAGCTCAACAAGCTATCCAAGTATCTAGAATACCAAAAATATGCATATGTCAAATGAAGCTTATTCTCCATGATCACATAAAAAAACAGAATTTTCAGAGAAAATTTTCTAACACTCTTTTTATTTTCCTGAAGAAAGGACTACTTTAAGAAGAAAGACATTGAGCACAAAGATCTCCACAAAAAGTTAGGTATAACATACTTGAGATTGACTCTACAAAAAGATGATTTTCAATTACCAAGCCACAAGCAATATCTCACATGTTGTCCATTGCTAAATCAAAAATAAATTTAGGGTGAATCATATATTCAAAGCAAGTTTTAAAGACTCCTATTGGACGAGATGCAAACAGCAAGGCTCCATTAATTAAGTTCATTTCACACTGACAATGTTGTTACAAGTAGCAGTAGATCAGGAAATTTTGTAAAATTTCTGCCATTGAACTCAGGAATTTCTCTCTTTTTTTTTTCTTTACGAATATATTACATTTTCACATTCAAAACGCATTTGGATGTCCAACCTAAGATTTGTGTATGCTTGTACACTAATACATCTGGCAGGGAGATAAAGTTTGGTCCTAAAACTTCTGAGATGGGCTCAATATCCTGAACTCACCATGATATTGATTTTAAGATCTAGAATTGGAAATTGTTAGCTGATTTAGGAAGGTTCTTTTCCTTATAGATAAGTCTATGAAAAAAGGTTGAAAGCAAATTAGGTCCGACATTCAATTAGAGGAAATTATATATCAATCTACAAAAATAAGAGGTCCAAGAGCAAAAAACAAACCAAATTTCTTCATATTGTTGGACTGAACACATTGATGAATTGAAATTCATTTCGAATTTAATTAAGTGACAATATTTACTGTTTTCAAGACATGCCCGTACGAGAACACAACTTGAAAAGTCAAGCCCATATGAGACGAGTCAACTCCATTAGTATGATCCAAGTTGGTAGAATGAGGAAGGTGAAGTGATGATTCAAAAAATTTAATAGAAATGCTTTCAATTTCATCTGAACCAGGGTCACAGAATACATTTATTATTACCTATACATATATCATGACTAAAAATTACACTTGGCAAAAATTATATATGACTTGGATGTACATAGAGGTTAACAAACTCAAGCAACAGCTGTAGTGGACTCAACATTGAGGCTAAAGTCAGCAAGTTAATGATGCTATGCTAAGGAGGTATAACATATGAAAAATTGAAAAGCATCCCAATTGCCAGGATCTATGAATTACCAAGGAAATAGCTCTGCAAGCAGGCCAAATAAAGAATATAGGGATAGTTGTCATGCCCATAACTTTTTGACAACCACAAAAATAATAACAATGTGCACCACCCATAATTACAGAAACTGGCTTCTCACCATAATATACCAACTTGTGGAGATTTTCCTTGCTGGCACGTTTGAAAACATTGCTCTTAATCTCAGCAAAGTTATTAGACACTAGTAGGGCAAGCAATGCATTGTTATGGGCTATAATGCAGGTGGATAATGTGATTGCCTGAGCTAACAAGACAAATGAATGCACAAGTAGGTCTAGTTCAGGAAAACAAGAATATAAAGATAGTAAGATACTAAGTATACGCCAAGAAAATTTCATTCATTTTGAAAGTATATAACTGTTATTAAAGGTCAACAAGTTCAAAAAAGTAAGAAAATTTCACTCATGTTTAAAGTATATTAAAGGTCAACAAGTTCAAAAGAGCCAAACAACCCCCACCCAAGCTCTTCATCTCTATCACACTCCTAGTTAATCAGAAAGCCCTGAAAAGATTTATGAAGCAAGTGCAGATGCAACTCATTGAAAATAATCAAATATATAAAAAGAAGTCTATAGGTGAAGCAGATCAATCGTTCAAGTGCCAGGCTACTTGGTTGAACCATGAATATCTGAAAAACATGTCAACACGATAAACTTTGATTCTAAGGTAGTTTGGGAATATTGGTGAAACCCTGTGTTTGACACTTTCAGAATTTTAAAGTTAATAATTCCACAGGAATTTAGCAGAACATTGGTTCAGTGCAAAAACTCTCGGAAGCCAAAAGATATAAAGTTAACACTCCATGATGGACTGACAATTTAGAGATATAAAAGGGCTCATATTGATGCTTCTGGGAATTTATTGTCAATGAAATTTGCCCAATGAATAGAACAAATATTACCAAAATTTAAAGGAAAAAATATTAGCAAGGATATTAAACGCAATAACAGCGATTGATTGGTCGAGAATGAATCTCAATAGCTCGAATGTCATGTTTTCTGGTGAACAACTTGCGACTCCCTCTGCTGAGCTAAACAGAACTTGCACAGCATCCGCACCGAAAGATTGACAGAGTTTATCAAATATCTGGCATGAACAAACATTAAACCCGATTCCATAGTTTGGTCAGGCACTAATATCAAGAAAAAAGATCCTTACTGCAAAAACATACAGAATCAGCATCAAGTTCGTTTCTTACCTCTAACACATTATAAACCACATAAAGTTTAAGTGTACCCTGTCCACGGATAATATGATAAATGAGACTGATATCTGAAGCACAAAAGGGGAGTGGAAAAGTAGCTTAATAAAGGAAATAGTTAAACAGCAGTCAAAAAGAAAACATAATAAAATTCCAAAGGACTCTTTAGAGTAAACCTGTTGCCTGTAAAAGGGTTACTCCACAAACTAGAACGACAAAACAGCCAAAATCAGACAATTCCGCTGCACGAGGTCTCTGGAACTGCCTGCCACAATCGTTGTCAGATCATTTTACAATTTTGTGACTTGTGAATCATCACTACCATGGAAATATCATGTGATTTTATGACTTCACTGCCATGGGGAAAGCATAAAGAAGAATATATTATCACACAGTGCTCCTGAACGCCAACTTCATATAGAATACACCGGCTTATACAAGCATGCATCCATGATCCGTCCACACATACATACCTACATACTTACAGACGTGTGCCTCCACAAACACGTTACAACATTTATGTACATGTGCATGCATGTACATCTGAGAAAGGGAGAGAGAGAGAGAGAGCAAAAACATGTATCTGTACTCTTTTAAGTTCTCAACCAACTTCAGATAGGACATACATCAGAATAGTAACTGATCAAAAGTTGCTCCAAATGACTCAGTATATCATCAAAGAAGCTTCAGACAAATGCAGGGTGATGCTATAGTATGGTGCAATAAAACTTTGGCATATTTTATAAAGGGTTCTAATAACCAGCACTCAGAGATGTCCTCATAAATGTGATTACTTTTCTTTAAGATTATTACAACCTTAAACCATATCACTGTCACTAATAGTTATGCAGAAAATTGGAAAAATATTAAGTTAGCTGAGTCCTAATTCACAGCAAACATGCAAAAACACACATGATTCCACGGTTTCCAACAAAACATAGAGAATGAGATTCAACCAGAGAGAAACCATTCAAAGAAAGAGGGAAGATCCAACCAGTGAGAATGAGATTTCACCTGATATTCAAAAACCTCCAAAAGGTCATTAGAATTCTAGCTGGCATTATAGTCAACAGTGAAAGAAATGAATCCACACAAACAAAGAAGCCAACATCTATCAGCTGCCACAAATTTCACAATATCAGTGTAATAATCTAGGAAGTTATACAATGATAAACCAATTTTCATGTGCAAAACAAGACAGAATAAACTACCATATGTTACATGCATACATGCCCTTTAGCCGTTAATGGAAACAAGAATTACCTAGAATATGCATGAGAAATGCAGCAGCAATAAATTCAATTATTTGCACTTCCAATAGATCAAATGAGTAAAACTCCGACTATTTTAAATTAGAATACTTTGTAGTGGTACCTGAGCAATAACCTATGGTAATTGGCAAAGACGCTAGTAATTGGCAAAGACAGTTTAAAACCAGCATCACTTTGTGGAAGGGGAAATCTCTCAAATGTTCACAGTTCCAGCCTCAACTGCAAGAAAGTTGAAGAGACTTCAGATGGATAAAGACCAGAATTAGGTACCAAGAGAAGTATTTGGAAGGGTGGAAGTTCTAGAAGCACACAGCATGTGGGAGCTATGACAAATTTTAATTACCATCATCCAGATAATAATTGTTGGAGTGCTATTTACTTCCAGATTATGCATGGGTATGAGGAGAATATTTCATACTTTAGGAATGATCTATCAGTTCGGGTGAGGTTCCTGAGATCGAGATCCATGATGGAGTGGACTATAACTTTAGAGAGGTAGCTCTCAAGTTTGAACTGTCCTGGACGGAAAATCAAAGTATCCATCACTTGATTTGAACTGGGTGGGCTTCTCTCGAGGGCAGGGAGGGCTGCTTTCAGTTATTTAGGAAATTTCAATTGTTGAACGGCAAACTTGAGTCCTGGGTTTGATCCCTTCATGGAAACTTCCATGAGAGAAACCTGATCATGCACTATATTAGTGAGCTAGAGCTGCTAGACATCCTCGAAGACAGCAGGGACTACTCTGATGAGGAGAGGGCTAGTAGGGTTAGCTTGAATATGCCTTCCCAAACAAGAAGAAATCCACAAGTACCATAGGTCAGGGATGAAGTGGCCGAAGGAGTGAAATACTAGGTTCTTTCGTAAAATTGCTAATTCCTGAAGAACAGACAAAACTATTCCAAATCAGAGCCGAGAACTCTATTTAGGAAGAACCTGCTGTCATTCATAGGGCCATGGTTGCGGGAACCTAGGGGGTAAGGCCACGGTCCTACCTTAGGAACTCGATCCTGTGATTCCTCTAAAGGATCATAGAGGGAGCTGGGTTTAAAGAAATTGGGATCTCATTCCCTATAAAATGGATCTTGGTCTATGTGCTCCTCTTTAGTATTATAGATTAAATTCTTTAGAATATATTAAACTATGTGCATATCACACATCAAGGTATATTAGAATTATGGCATTAAAAAACTATAGTTTAATATCGTAGTGAGCCAATTTATGAGTTATAACATTATTGAACCGTATTATTAAAGTAAAGTTTGCAGTATTATAACTATAGCATTCATAGTAAGCTAAAGTGTCTGATAATTGATCAATTAGGCATTGGCTTGATCCTAATTTTATCATATATACTATTAATTGATCTTGTTCCATATATAGTTGAACTTAAATCCCCCCAAGTCAAAACCTTGACCCCAGTGACATGGGATCTCGCTCCCAGGTATCCTAGGCTATAGCCCAACTTGTTGAATGTATGGATGTCGATCCTAAGCCCAGGGCGCTTCCACCCTATGGCGGTTCAGCATTTCCCAAATTGATCCCGCTCCTAGAACCTGCTCTTGCCTCCAACAACTATGGATAGGATCATTATAAGGTACTTCAAGAAGCTATATTCAGCCTCCGACCATGTCAGCCCTTTATAGCTAACCTTCCACTTTGCTCCCTCCCATCTGATCAAGCCTCCTGGCTAGAAAGGCCTTTCTTACAAACTGAAATACTCCAAGCATTGTACCATTTGGTTGATTTCTTAGAAAATGAAATCCTCCTTGCTAGAAAGGCCGTTTTACCTAGGGGCGCCTTGCTCCACCTAGTGCCACCTTCTCAAAAAATGCCACTCTCTTCTTTCCTCTTTTTTTTTCTTTGCTATGATTATTTTTCAAACTCTTTTGTACATTAACATGCTGCAGAAATAGATATTATATTGGAAAAAATAGATATAGCAATGACCGCCGTCTACATTCAGGCCATTGTTATCACATGTCATGTTATCTAGAAAGAGAAAAAAAAAGTATGAAGTTAGTGACTTCTAGAAAGACAAAAAAGGTGTCATTTCATCTGAGAGAAACAGAGCATTTGTCATGTTATATAGAGAGAGAAAAAGACCACGGAGTAAATACCTTTTGGAGATAGGAAACTGTCATGAAGTTCACTGCTTCTCTTTCTCAATATTAAAAAAAAAAAGACAGCTTCTTCTTCTCTCTCTTTCTTTTTTTCTTTCCGAGTGTCATCTAGAGAGAAAGAGAGCATGGAGTTCGAGGTCCACAGCTTGCTTCTCTCTTTCGCAACATTAAATGATTCTCACTCTCGTCATTAAAAAAGTTACTCATTTTTTCCTGAGGTCAACATCTCTTTCTCAAAATTATATGCTTTTCTTTCTCAACTTTAAAAAAGCTCCTTATCTATTTCTTTTTCGTCTTTTCCTCATGTTATCTTGTGAGAGAAAAAGCATGGAGTTTGTAGTGCTTGATTTAACCCCCTCCCCACCCCAAAAAAATAAATCGGCCTAGCCGTCTCGGAGGCTGAATTGCAATTTCGAACATTGCAGCAGGTAATGAAAGATACTATTTCTCCCTCTTAGGGGCGTTTGTTTAATATCGCCAGATTGTGGATGGTGGTCTTATAGCTCACAGGTGTCCACTATCGGCACCTTGCCAAGATCCTGGTCTAGTCCTTAAATTGGAAGGGGAAAAACCATAAGACCAGTCCTAGACAAAGTGCTATATTTGATGGGCTTCAGTGGCAGATACAGAGCTTGGACAAAGGAAGGTTGAAGGACCATTCGATTCATTAAGGGGCATAGATCTAGGCCTATTTGTTCGGTCAATCACCAAAGGGGTGGGGGCGGCTTTGGACGTGACGAGACCTCCCGGCCTCGATTCTTTTGCATAGTCTGTGGGCCGGCCGCAGGCAGCAAAGCTGCGGGGCATAGCGGCGCCCTCGCCTGGTGCCATTCCTGGACCTAGCAGCAGACGGGCGGGCCGGGCCTGAATTCAGACCGGACTAGACTCTTCCTTGTTTGAGCAGCTCCCACGCACACAAACCGGAAGATATTAGTTGTCCAGGACTATACAAGTACCTAGAGATCTTCGTGGGACCGGGGAGCAAAGGCTGTGTGTCCTCTTCGACATTCTCAGTTTTGTTAAATGGGTCTCGTAAAGGTTTCTTCCCAGCAACTAGGGGTCTTCGCTAATGGGATCCATTATCCCCCTTCTTGTTTGCACATGGGCTGAAGTATTCAGGACTTCCATTTCCAAGTTCTATGCTAGTGACTCCCTTAAAGTCTTTAAGACCCCTCAAAGGGGTCCCTCCATCACGCAACTTCAATATGCAAACGGCACATTGATTTTCTACAACATAAAATAAGAACAAGTGGATAAACTTGTTATTCTTGAGATTTTTTTTGAGGTCTTTGTGGGCTTTAAGATAAACATGGACAAAATCAAACATTATGGAGTGTCTGTTGGCCTTAAGATGACCCAACAATTGGCTAGAAGGATAGAGTGTGTATTGATAGCATCCCTAGCAACTATCTTGGTCTCCCCTTATACATTGGGAAGAATCATAAGGCTTTGGGGGATAATGTAGTGGAACAATTCGAGCAACATTTTGTTGCCAGGAAATATGGGTTTTTGTCACTTGGAGGGAGAAAAACTGTTCTTAAAGCAACGCTCTATAATATCTCACTCTATCAAATATATCCATCTTTGGAATGCCTGCTATATGATTAAGAGGCTTGAACATGAGGAATTTCCCTTGGCCAAGGACTAGTGGATCTCATAAGTTCCAGTTGGTTAAATGGGAGATGGCTTACAGGCCCAAAGCTAAGGGTGCATTGCAGATAAGAACTCTACAACTGTGCAATCACTCTTCAGGGAAATGGTTATGACATTATGCAAGTCGAGATGGACACCTTATTGCAACAAGTGATTTTCCATAAATATGGCATGGATGAATCAAACTCCGCCATGGATGATCCAAAGCTGGTCATGTCGGTCCCAAGCCTGGAAAAAGGAGGAGGGTTGTGTTAGGTTGGCAGCCAGCATAAAATCTTTGCGATGTCAATTTCATGAATCCTGAACCAATGGCCCGGTTGCGGTGATAAGTTGGCAAGAGGTCCCATGCCATTTTGGATGAGTGCGGGTAAAGAAGCTATTCCAAGAGAATTGGATTTGTCTAGCTACATAAAGTGTACGAACTCTAATAGGTAAGAGTGTGCAGATAATGGATACAATGAGATAAAGGAGAGTTAACATAGCTTGCCTACAGGAAACCAAGTGAAAAGGGGCAATTAAGTGATATAAACTTCTAATATATAGGAAAGAATAATAATAGAAATACTAGATGAAGATTTAAAGGATATAATAGATGTTGAGCGGCTAGGTGATAGCTCTTACTAATTAAACTTGTGTTAGGGGAGGAGCCAATTAATGTAATTAATGCTTACGTGCCACATGTAGGATTTGAGGTTAGAATTAAAAGACAATTTTGAGAGGACATGGATGGACTAGTTCAAGGAATAACAAATGTAAATGGCCGTGTAAGAAAAGATAGCAAAGGATATGAAAGATTGCATGGATAGATTTGGGGAACAAAATGAAATAAAGTGGTATTATTCTTAACTTTGCTATGGCTTACAACCTAGCAATAGCAAACACCTACTTTAAAAGAAAAAGAAAAAAAAGATGAACATTTAATAACTTACAAAAGTGCAACATATAAAACCAGATAAACTTCTGTCTAGTTAAGAAGGCAGATCGACCATCATGTAAAAACTATAACGTCATCTACGAGAGAGGTTGGTCACGAAACATACACGCATGGTTATGGATGTTTGCATGAAGAGATGG